CCCCCCCCCCCGTGTATGTATATGGCCAGCAAAAAAATTCAGCTAGCAAAATAAAACATGAGATTTATTAAGTGTCCATGACATGTGAGAGCCAGTGTGGTTTAGTCATTTGAGCATCGGAACAACAGGGTTCGCTCAGCCATAAAAACCCACTGGGGAAGTCACACCTTCCTTCCCCCCCATGTACAAATTTTGCCAAGAAAATCCTCTTATAGGTTCTCTTTGGGGTGCCATAAGTCAGAAACAACTTAGAGGCATACAACAGCAACAACAACAATAACAACAATATGACCTGATTCTAAAAATGTACAAATCTGTAAAATGTACAAATCTGTATCTATATTCTACAATTTTTCAGATACAAAAACGTAAGTGGGGCTGCATCCACACTACAGAAATAATGACACCACTTAACTGCCATGGCTCAGTGTTATGGAATTCTAGGAACTGTAGTTTGTTGTGTCAGCAGAGCTCTCTGAAAAAGAAGGCTAAATGTCTCACAAAACTACAATTCCCAGAATTCCATAGCATCGAGCTGTTAAAGTGGTGTCAACTTGGATTATTTCTGCAGTGTGGATGCAACTTGGTAAAGGTTTAACCTATTAACTTATTATTAGCTTCTTAAACTTTTAATATCCTTTAAAAAGTCTAATTCCATTGCATTTAAGTTGAAAGGTATTTTAAAAACAATTTAATTGTACTATGAAATTAATTTTAAAACGGTACTTAAATTTAATGTTATAACATTTACCTTAATAAAGGGGAAGAGTTCTGTCCATTGCTTTACTTTACCCCCTTGTTCCTCTTTTGAGCTTGGGCAAGAAGCACGTTGTTGTTTGAATTTTTGAAAGCTCTGTTTTTCATAAAAAACCTTACACTTGTTTTCCCTTTCCCCTTCCCTTACAATTTCATCTCTTTTGTAGTTATTGTTGTGTGTCTTCAAGTTGCTTCTGACTTAAGCAATCCTAAGGCAAAGACTTTTGCCTTCATTTGAGGCTAAGACAGTGTGATTTGGTTAACCAAGTGGGTTTCATGGCTGAGCAGGGATTTGAACCCTGATCTCCAAAGTTGTAGTCCAAGGCTCAAACCACTGTGCTCCTCACCCATGTGAAAATCTTACTGACTCTCACATGGGTTATAGCAAAAAAATCTTGTGTTAATTCAGATTTCCTGGGATAGATGAATAGCCTTTGTGCTGCATCTGGTGTAAAATGTGAAGATCCTCTCTTCTCAAGCTGCCCTTATTACTTATGACCTAAACTTTGTAATTTCCTAGCCTTACAGGAATTAAAGTAAATGAGAAATAGTTCTGCAAAATTAAAGAGAAGCAGGCTTTCCAAAAAGAGCCATCTGGGTAAAATAAAATATGACTTTTTAGTACTCTGACTCATTTGATTAAAAACAAAGGGTACATGTGCACTCCACTGGTGGTGCAGTGGTTAATGCCTGTACTGCAGCCATTCACTCATAGACCACAAGGTTGCGAGTTCAATACTAGCCAGGGCTCAGGCTAGACTCAGGCCTGCATCCTTCTGAGGTTGCTAAAATGAGTACCCAACTGTTGGGGGGCAATGAGCTTACAGTTGTAAATCACTTAGACATCCCATAGGGTGGTATAAAGTGGTATATAAATGAAGCTGCTTTGCTTTGCTTTGCTTAGAAATAATGCAGTTTAACACCACTTTAAGTGCTGTAGCTCCAACCTATGGGATCCTGGAATTTGTAGTTTTACAAGGGTTTCTCTGCCAAAGAGTGCTGCTGCTGCAGAAAACTACAAATCCTAAGATTCTGTAGGATGGAGTCATGACAGTTAAAGTGGTGTCAAATTGCAATATTTCTGCAGTGTAAATGCACCCTTAAAACTTTAATGCTGTAATTCTAACTTATGCCAATTCTAATGTTTGACAAATTCTAATTTATGCCAATCACTTCAGTTAAAAAAAATATGAACATTTCTCTTTTTCACTGGTAAATTTCCCATGCAATTGACAACTTAATTGATTTTAAGTGGTGAATTCCTGTCACTAAACCTTCTTTCTGCAGGGTTAGAATTCAGAGACATAGAATTCAGAGACATGGAATATCAGACTACAAAGGGATCTTGCAGCATCTTTGAGACTAACTGTGCAAACGAAGTTGCAGCATGAGCTTTTCTAGACTCAGTCTACTTCCTCATGCTACATCTTTATTCATATAGTCTTAGAAATGCAGGAAGCCTTCTTTTTGCAGGGAGCAAATTAGTTTAGTCTGAAGCTACTGCCGTTTTACATGGACAGGAATAGTTTTTAAAAAATGACTTTTACTGCCCTCTATATGGGTCTGAGGTTGTGGCAGAATAAACCACAGAGAAGCATTTCCCACAGCTCAGTGAGAAACATTGATCTAGCTTTTCTTGAGTCATTTAAACAAATTCCCATGATAGCTATGCTTTGAAACAAAGACCTAGTTCCTGCTGTTAGTCCTAATTAGAGTAGAACCATTGAATCAATAGGATTTACCTATGTATTGATTCACTGTTCAACAATTGATTGAATGAGTCTACTCTAGTTGGGATTAATCAACAGGATGTCAGTCAAAATTTCGAAGTTGATGCTGTAAGGCATTATGCAATTAATATGTGACT